CACCCCGCTCAGCCCCGCCCCGGCCCCGCACCCAGGGCCATCCCGGGCTCACCAGGGGTGGGTGTAGCCCGGGGGGGGGGCCCGAGGTGGGGCCAAAACTGCATTTTTGCAGTTCGGCCCAGGGGGTGCAGGCTGCGCACCCCCCTGTATTTTTTTGTTTTTTTTGTTTTTTTTGTTTTTGGGGGGGGGGGGTCCGAAGCCGGGGTCAGGGGTGCCCAGGCCCGGACCCCCGGACCCCCGCCGGGGCCCCCGGGTCGGGGCTCGACAACCCTGCGTGCAGTTTGGAAAATGAAAACTGCAAGAGGGATTTCCCGTACCGTTTTTAAATCTCAAAAACGAATTTCGGAGATAAAAAAATATTCCGGATTTCCAAATAATGGGAAATTGCAAAAGGAAATTGAAATTTTCGAAAAAAAGATATTCCGGATTTCCAACAACGAAGTTTCGAAATTTATTGAAGAAAAACGAAAACGGAAATTTCAGGTGTTGCGCTTTTGCGATTTTCCACAACAGAAATAGTGGGAAAACAAAATCCAAGAAAACAAAAAATTTTTGATTTTCGGCAGTGAGGTCAATATCGTGATTTTGGGGGCTAATTAGTATGCTCTAATCATCAATCAATCACAACTAACTAACTACTTAGTCCCCGCACAGGTGTCAGATCAGGCTGTCCTGATTCACATGCGGTGTTCCGATACCAACTATTACATGCCCAGTTGGGCGATGTACATATATAACCAAGGATCCACAATGTGATGAAAAGGAGTGAATGGACAACGCACTGCTAGTAGAATCTCATCAAGCAGTGTACGTCCTGATCCATACAAAAATGGTGCTTTATAGCGCAGTAGAAGACTTAGATAAAAGTCCTGACCTGACCGGGACTGACCTCCGTCACGAAGTACAAGACAGCATAGCAGAATGCTGGGATACCAATGACTAGCCCAATCAATGTCGCAATGCAGATCAAACATACATCATCCTTATCGTAAGGTGTGAAGGGGCCTGGAGTTACACACAAGAAGAAGGCGCCAGGTCCAGATCATGCACAGGCGAAGAGGAGGGAATCAGACGAAGAAGAGGAGGGGAGATGGAAATGTCGTCAACACCAAGTCTTCGTTACAAGTCCCAAATAACCCCTCGTCAAATGTCTGAAGCCAAATGTCGAGTCTGGACCAAATGTCACCAATCCCGCTCTCTCTCGTAGTCTGCTGATGCAATGAAGTCAGGTAGCGAGCAGGTGAGAGGAAGATGGTGGACTGAGAAGAGGAAGAACAAGAACTCTCTCTCTCAGTGCCAGGTACTAACCTGTGACGATGGCGCTGTGCTGCAGGTACCTCGAAGACGAAGCTGGAGCTATGGCGCTGCAAGTAAGTCTCCCTGGCCTCCGCCCAATCTCTCTCTCTCTCCAGTACTACTCTAGCTCCTACCAGCGCCCAGCGCTGAAGACTACCGCTAACGCTACTAGCGCCCAGCGCTGGAGACTACTGCTAGCGCTACTACTCCTCCTGCACCACTCCTCCAGAGTGCTGCTGCCGACTCCTGAAGACTACCTCCTGACTCCTGAACTGCACATGAAGTGCCTGGAAAGTACCTAGGAACTACCTGCAGCCTGCAGGGCTGGCCAGTCCTATATAGTGCTGGCCCGTCCAGGAGGCTGCTCTTGCCAATGCCGAAACGTGCCAGACCCTGGCGTTGAAGCTCAACCAAGGGTAGTCTTGAAAACAGGCCCAGAATGCCCTGTGCTAAAACCCTGGTCTGGTGCCCGAGTTTCAGGGCAGGTCGATCTCATGCGGGCCTGAAAATGGCCCTCCGTTTCAGGCTGAAAAGACTCAGGGCCGGAAAGGCCCTGTTATAGGCTGAAACGACACAGGGCCTGTAGGCCCTTGTTTTCAGGTTCTCAGGCTGAAACGACACATGGCCTGTAGGCCCTTGTTTTCAGGCTTTCGGGCTGAAAACGACACGGGCCTGAAAATGGCCCGTGCAGCCTGTTGCAGGTGCAGCATCTAACAGTCTCACAGATTAGGCCCCTGACTACGTGAGCCACGTACCCCCAGCCCTGATGACCTTTGACGTTTTCCGGCAGGAAGCCCAGCAGTATCCACCTTTCCTTCCATTCCACTCCCTGGCCTCCGAATTCTCTCCAGTGGTGAGCCCACCAGTTCCATATTCTTTTCGACGTCGGGCATTCCCGCCACAAGTGCTTAGTAGACTCGAATGGCCACCTGCACCTTGTACAAGTGAGATCCACCTTCATGCCTCTGCTGGTTAGCCAGACGGCTGAGGGAGAGGCCATTAGCGAGAGCAGCCACAGCAGACTGACCTGCTTGACGTTGGGGAGGGATGACATGATACTCCACAGTCCCTCAAAATCAGACTCCGCGTCCGAGAGGTCTTCTTCGCATACAGCCTGCCACAGAGGAATCGCCCGTTGCGCTGGTGACTTGAGCTTATGTCTGTACTGTTTATAGCCTGCCGCCACCGTGTAATTGTGCAGGTCCAGGGGCTCCTTCCCCGGGTCCTTGGCCGACCAGCTCCATGCTGTCGGGTCGATACTGAGCTGGTTAAGCGGTAGCCTGCGAACCCAAGTGAGGATGCGGACCGAGCGGTTCTTGCTGCAAACCTCCAGGACACGTGCTTGCGCAGGGTTTTCCCAGAGTTGGACTGTGACTTCCTCTAACAAGTACAACGTGTTCTCAGGACCCGTACACTTCCACCTTTCGATCCGTTTGAACCCACTCGGAAGTATCTCCAACAGTTTCCATAGGACCAAGTCCTCCTCCCTCGCCTGTTGAGGGATGTACCATGTGCCTGCTGGGTCTGTGCCTTGCGGACCTAGGATGGTCGTCCATTCTCGAGGGAGGGCGTTGATCAACGCCCTCCAGTGGGACTCTACTTCCTGTAAGCCTATGAGGACAACTCTTACCTCTGATAGAGGCTTCCAACCCCCAAGCAGGGAGGACCAGAGATCGGATAATCTCACGATACCCTTTCTGACCCAGGCTCTGCCGAATGAACCTACCGAGCCGTCAGCCAGGAAAACTGTCCCGTTGAGGTCTGTAATCGCCAGATTCACATCAACTGGTTCAGTACTTCTTCTTTGGTGGTTGGAGGGTTTTGCGGGTCCGGAGGAAGGCGGTGACACGCACGACGGATCGGTTCCCAAAAACCGGATTTGAACCTCTTCTTCCAAAAGGATGGTATGAAGAAGCGGGCCCAGACGTCCTGGGGCCTGCTGAACGCCCATTCGTTCATTAGTATCCCATTCTGCCACAGTGACCCAATGCTCCCTGGTTTTCATGGTTCCAACTCTGACGAGCCAATTCCTCAACTGGTCTTGGCACCTGCTGGTGGGTTCCATCAACCCAGTCCCCCCTGTGGTCTTGGGAAGGTTAGCGTGTATGTCGAAGGCTACTTTGGTCAAGAATCCCTCCGAGTTCTGGGCTCATGGTTTCCAAATGAACCGGGCTACCAACCGTCTGACGACCTTAACTGATCCCTCGGCTAGTACCTTCACTGTGGTCACAAACCATGAAATAAAAAACAGGGCCACATTGGCCACCGAAGCTCTCCCGATTACAGACAGGTGTCTTGTATTACTCCACAACCTCAGTCTAGAGGAGATTTGTTGTTGCAGTACCAGTGTCTGTGCAGACACGTCTACTTGCATGCTAATTAGTACTCCCAAAAACCTCTCCTCCTCTCCTGCGTCCACTCTTTTCATACCCCATTCGACATACAACATAAATTGTGCAGGGAGCATGAATGTGGATTTGTGCCAATTCAGGGTAGCTTCGAAAAGCGCTGAATACTCGCCCAACACAGTTTTAAGGGCTGACAACGAGGACAATTCCGGAGGTTCTCTTACCACCGCCGGGATAGAGGCCTTGCACACAAGGGCTTAATTTTCACTTATGCCAAAGAGGTCATCTGCCAAGGCCTTGACTTTACACGTCTTGTCGGTATGAAGTTGAAAACCTTTGATATCTGGGTGCCTACGAATCCTGTTCAGCAGGACTTCCAGCTGCAGCGCGAAGATGAGAGGGGCCAGCTGACAGCCTTGCCGCAACGCTCCAGAGAGGACGAGAGGCTTTGACAAATGACCATTGATCATGATCGCCGATGTGGAAAAGGTATACAAGGCTTTGATCCAAGCGCAGAGTCCCCCTCCCGAAATCCCATCCGCCTTATGGTGGTAAGGACGAACGGCCACCCCACCTTGTCATACGCCTTCTCCAAGTCAAGGAGAAGGACCGCCATGTCCCGCCCCTCACTCTGCACTACCTCCAGCGTCTCGATGGCAATCACAATATTATTAGAATTGATCTTCCTCGCACAAAGGTGCCTTGGTCCCCTTCCACTAACTCCAGTAGATACTGTGCGCGCCTGCGAGCCAATGATTTAGCCTGGATCTTATACGACACGTTCAGCAGTGAAATTGGCCGCCCGTTTCGGACCTCGGCTTTGTCTCCCTTCTTGAAGAGCACGGAGATCACCCCGTGAGTCATTCCCTTCCCCAGTTTTCCCCCTATCAACACCTCATTGTACAGATCGAATAGCTTGGGCCCACAGGCAGCCCAGTTTGTGGAGTAGAATTCCACCGTGAGTTCGTCCACACGGGGGGATTTTTTTGGACGTCCTACTTAGGCAGGAGAGGGTGGGTTGTCACATTGATGTAGAAGGGTGGCTCTGCTGCCCATAGAGTCTGCACGATGTGGTACAGGCTGGGAATGACCGGGTATACTTGTGACCCCTCCTGTATCCGGGTCATCCTCGAGTCTTCGAGGTGTCCCTATGGTAGCACCCAGGGAGGATGTGTGTCTGCGACTCCTCGGAAGGCGTGGATTGGTGTAGGTCTAGGTCTAGATAGAGAGGTCTGGGTCACACCGCTGTAGGGCTCGACTTGCGATAAGATTCGGATATAATAGGTCATGAATGATGCCCCGTGGAGGAAAAATGTCCTTGGGGTTGTCACAAGCCATCTGACCTCCTCACTGGTTGAGTACAACGATAGGCACCTCCAGAGGCCTAGCATCCACCCTCTACTGCGACATGGACCTTTTTAAATAAACAAAAATTGAAAAAGGTGTCAATTTTATTTTTTTCCTTTGTTCAGAAGGGTTGCAGGGTGTCGGGGATATGACCCAACGAGGAGGTCCTGCAGGGGGCTTCACGCGCCAGGTTCAACCCACCTGTCGGCACACAACGGACCCACCCACTCACTCAAGGATCAGTCAAGACCAGGTCTTAGAGGAGGGTGAGAAGAGAGACCTTGCTACTCACACCTGGGAGTATCAACGTAGACCGGAGTTACCAGGTCGCTGCATCAGGGTGCATCCCCTTTGAATTCAGAGTCCTGCATCCCCGAGGCACCCAACCGTGAGGCCTAAGCACCACGATCATCAGGTGTTGTGGGGATGAGAGTCACTCCTGCTAGGAAGTGAGTGAACCCTTCGCTCCTCCCGTACTCATCCCCACTGAGCCTGCCCCGTTTGGTCCCATGGCCTCCATCAACCCGAAGGGGAGGCGCACGCCGCCGTTGCGGAGGACCCAAGAGTGCGCACGGGCTAGTATCTGCTGGGCACCTTCTCAGGTGGAACCCAGGTCAGGTTTATGCGCAGGATCCTTATGTACATCCATGCCTGAAACTTGGTGATCCAGTAGATTACCCTGAGGCGCTTCACCCCCAACTGACTGATTCAATGAATTTGGACTCCCAGGTGCGAATAACTGACAAACTCAGTGCAGTGCCACATCACCTTGTACTGCGCTGCTTGGAAATTGGGGATCCTGACCCAATTCCAAAATCGCGACCTCCTGGGATCACTTCCTTACCAATCGCCAGCCTCCAGATGAATCGCCAGGCGAAAATTAGCCTCTCAGAGCCTCTCACGCCTCTGAGCACCAATCGCCAACCACTCCTGCACAACCCTAGTCAGGAGTGAGTCACCTTCTGTCCAATTCTTCTCGCCACACACTCACTACCGCCACCCTTACTGACAACAACCCTGAAGATGATGAATCGCCATGAGACTCAGCTCCAGTATCTCGCCAGATGATGATGGTTGCTCCAACTCATCAATCGCTCCAGAGTCTGGATCCAATAGCTCCAATATGATTCTGGTTGTTTGTTGTCTGAGACCAACACTCGCACACACACTCTTCCAGGTATGCCCATACATACACATACACAGAAGGAAGGGGAGAGGATAGGAGTATCACACCGCACAGGGAGAGATAAACACAGCGGAAGACTTGACCATGCGATATGACAGGGTACACTGAAAGTGCAATTCAATCCACTCAATCCTCACAACCAGTCATAAAGAAAAGCCGAGTAGATCACATTCAGGAAACAATGAAACGATGATAGTCCAAACCCAGTATTACACTGTTTATTAAACTCGAGAGTCTCGAATTGTCAAGATAACCTCCGTACTACAGTGCGCTGCTCAGAAATGAGCAGCGCTTCACTCCTCAACCCCGAGTAACCACCCGTGACACCCCTGAGCCCCCGAAACATCAAGCGCCATCCAGATACAGCTCCACAGGGAAGCGCCACCCTGAAACAGGCCTCTGAGGCCAAGCGCCACTCAAAGGATGAAGAAGAAGACCAGCGCCACAGTATCTGATGATGACGAAGTGTCGGAAGACTTCCCGGATGGAAGTCTGCAGCAGCGCCACCAACTCCTGACAAGATGACCTCTGCGGAAGAAGCTGCAGCTATGGCTGCAGTGCCACAACCCTGGAACCCCACTCCGGAGGAGGGGCCAGCAGGGCACCAACTTCTCTAGCCTCCAGCAGACCTTGATAACCCAGACCTCTAACAGCCCCTTCGTGCTGGCAGAGTACAGCGCAGGTCCCAAGCTCCTAACTATGGCCTGCGCTCCGAAGGTCTGGCTATGCCTGTCTCCTTCCACGCTGAGCCGTCAACACTTCCGGTTCACACATAGCACAGCAGCGATGTACTCGGTACCAACTGCCAAAAGCCCTGAACCGATGTGCCCATCCTATCTATAGACTAAAACTAGCCTAGACTCGACCTAGACCGGACTGACTGACTGACCGGTACCGATTCCGTTTTGGCCTCTCGGCGTCTACCTTACCTGGCTATAGGCTATAGGACCGTCTATCAGCATAGGCCTGTAGGGCCTGTCTGTCTTAGGGGTAGCCCGGGCCTGCTATTTGCAGTTAGGTTAGCTGTAGGAAATTCAGTTAGTACGGGCCTGTATTTTCCCGTATTTACAGATATGTCCCTCACAAATTTTCCTTACAGGCAGGTCACTCGGTTAGCCCTCAGCCAAACAAAATTACGAGTCTGTCCTACCTATAGTACAGCCTCGACAGAGAGAGGCTACAGGCGACCAGAAAACAGCAAGTCATTCTCTCCATTTGGGTCGTGCTCAGCCCGGACCATGGACCAGCCTCGACAGTTAGTCTCTCTCTCTCTCTCTCTCTCTCTCTCTCTCTCTCTCTCTCTCTCTCTCTCTATCTATCTATCTATCTATCTCTATCTCTATCTATCTATCTATCTATCTATCTATCTATCTTTCTATCTATCTATCTATCTGTGTGTGTGTGTGTGTGTGTGTGTGTCTGTGTGTCTGTGTGTGTGTGTGCCTGCCTCTCTCTCGTGCACTCTACCTCCCTCCCCAAGTAATTTCCACAAATCTGAATGTGGCCACATCAGCAGCGTTGAGTACTTGAAAGTATCAACAATCATGGATTTCATTCACTCAATCAAAGTCTCCGCTATGAAGTTAGAATCCTCCCTCAATAGGGCACCACCCAACCTCTCTTGCCATCATCACAGCTATGGGAGCAATCACAGCAATCTCGATTAATCTTCCTGTCTCCTCCAGAAACCGACCACCTCCGCAGAATGCACTGCCCCTTACCCAAACAGGTGTGTTGCCTTCACCGGACTTGCTGTGACATCCATAGGGAATCATTAGGGATATCTCCGCAGAATGCACTGCCCCTAACCCTAACAGGTGTGTTGCCTTCACGGGACTTGCTGTGATATCCATAGAGAATCATTAGGGATATCTCAGGGAAACCTAGCAGAATGGGGGATAAGTTAATACTGGATCCGTTTGTGACTCAAAATGTGTTTTGAAAAGAAGTTTTTTAGAGAAAAAAGTATGAAACACACAACGTATTGGTAAAACTTACTAAAAAGATTTTCTCTGTGCTCTTTTGGTTTCTTGTGGTCGTTCGGCTTGCCAGCAATGGGGACAATCAAGGAACTTTCCATGTGATATTTCTGTTCAACACGATTCAATTTTTGAAACCTTTTTTTGAATGAACTTCACACATTTATCAGCCTAAGTGCCAGTTACGATCCAAGTCCCAGAATTCCCGAAGTTCCAAGTCCCATATACCACAACCTGCCGGTAGGCGCAGTCGTAGGGTCCAGAAGGCCCGCCAGTACAAGTCAGGCAGCAGGTCATTATACTAAGAAGTCCAATCAACGGTACAGTCAAAAATAGCAGCTCAGTCCTGGGAAAGTCCGGTACGGGTCCAAACTCCAAGTTTGGGAGCTGCAACAACGTATGAAGAGTTCAGCAGTCGCAGAGCCTCTCTTCACAGCATTGCTGTGTACTTGTGCGACAAAACATAAAGTGTGACTGGGAAGGACACAACTTAGGGTAGTCAATGGCACAGGGCACCACACTTAGGGCTTAGGAGTGAGAGTGAGGGAGAGAGCGAGAGGGGAAGATAGAAGGTA